AAAGCTTTTCTAATTAAATAATATCTTAGTTTTATTATATTTTTACTTTACTATTCAGAGCAGCTTTTCGCTATGTGTGTGTGTGTGGGGGGGGGGGCGGTCGGCTGCTTGATATAAAAGAAATATGATTTAAATTCTCCAAGGTCTTGTACTTGTAATTAATATAAACATTATGCGCTACAAAATAATTTCTCGAAATTTTATAAATTAAATAAGTGGGAGTGTGGGGTTGGAAGAGATGTAAACAAATATTTTTATCAAGATTTTCTAAAAAAGAAGCATTTCTAAAATAGTTTAATTCAATTCTTGAAAGTTTCATTAAAATCCAGCAATTACCTGATTTTTGCAAGAATTTCCAATTTAATGTATTTTTCATTGCAAAAAAGACGCTCAAATTTCCTATACTAATTTATGATCATCAGTTGACGCAAGAAAAACAAAATTTTAACAAAGATTTTGAAGGTTCTAAAAAGATTATTAATAACAGGAAAGACCGAGGGATATTTTCATTATTAAATTATATTTTTATATAATTTTTATAATGAAAATATTCCTCGGTCTTTCCTGTTAATAATAGCATAAAGATTTTGACGATAAAGCTTTCTTTTTATTCAGTTTGGGGCATTTTTAGCGATTCTTTGGAGGTATCTCTATATTAGGTACCTCTGTACTCAGTTAGTTATGTGCCATGCGTGATACTTGCTTAGGCGATCATGTATCTTTCGATACATCTCACGATGCAGATTTTTTCACGCAGTAGGTTGCCATTTCTTTCTGCGGGAGACCAGTTGCCATCCAAGGCTATAGAACCCGGTCTGTCTTGCTATTTACCCATAGATGGGGGGAGAAGAAGAAAATTCATACCTTTCCCAAGGATATTAGCACGTGAGTGAATGTAATGGATTCGACTGGAATTCGAACTCGGCTCACCGATTCCTCAATCCGAACCGTTATCCATTAAAAATTCGTTAAAAAAGAGGAAGTATGATGAAAGAAATGCCCAAAACATAATAAAAGCTACATTTGACTGTCATAATGTGTTAATGTTTGTGTCATATATATATATATATATATATATATATATATATATATATATATATATATAGGTAACTACACTCGTCTCGGAAAACCTTTCGGTTTCTTGATTTGCTAATGATCAAATGAATTTCGAAGAAAAAAAGTTTTAAAAAAAGAAAGAGCTAAGAACATGAACGTCTGTTGAAAATAATCGTACAGCATACAGGTCCAAAGGCCAAAGAAAAAAACCCGATACTAGCAATCAACTAACTAAAAAAGTGCTCAATACAAAAGTAGAGCAGACCTAGTCAAACCTAGAGAGCCAGGCAAACCTATCAAGGTTTCACCTATGGATCGTCTGGCTCTCTAGGTTTGACTATATATATATATATATATATATATATATATATATATATATATATATATATATATATATATATATGAATGAAAATTTCTCCGATTTAATCGGTAGAGAAGACAATATTTATGAATAAAAAATGACAATAGGAAAACTGGTAATTGCTGACGCGTTTCGTCCAATGTCGACTTTATCAAAGCAAAAAATACGAAACGCGTCAGCAATTACCAGTTTTCCTATTGTCATTTTTATTCATATATATATATATATATATATATATATATATATATGTATGTATGTATGTATACACACACACATTTGGCTAATGAAAGTTCTTTATTAAGGATTTTTAAATTTATATTTTATATTTCGGACGATTTTCCTTGTTTCTAACACATTTAAATAGAAATTACCCAATATCTGAGTACTTTCTTAGTTTTCTTAAACTATTAGAAATAGTTTTTACTTTTGTAGTATGTTGGTTTCATCATTTTCCAAATATCGCTTCTTTGCGTTTTCACGTGACAGTTCATGCTATCGTTCTTTTCATCCCTTTTTTTTTAATGAAATATATGTAGTCTGTTTATTTCTAAATGTGATATGTTTTTATTTTAATGTTGGGTTGTTTGATTTTATGCTTAATCTTTCCAGTTATCTAATCGCAATCACGTGACCTGATGATTGCGTCTAGCATGAAAACAGCCTGTCGCCTCTGAGTGTTGACTTCAATGTTCACTTTTCTATTTACATACGCTCTATCTCTGATATTGAGCACTTTATCCCATAAATATAGCACACCTTAAAACTATATTTCTTCTGATATATATATATATATATATATATATATATATGTGTGTGTGTGTATGTGCGCGTGTGTGTGTGTGTACAGAGAGAGAGAGAGAGAGAGGGATGGCATGAAGATCACCCCAAGCATGAAACTGACAGTCACAATGCAGTGTTGATTCCTATATCGCTACTCTGTCAACCTACAGGTAGAATAAATAAGTTTTACTCCTAAAGAAATGAACTGGGAAGAGTCGGCTCCCTTTTCTACTTAATCCCCCATTGACCTATATATAAAACCTTTTAAAAGGGTAGTGGTACCTTCTCTGAAGATCGCATTGAAACTGGTAGTCACTATGCAGTGTAGATTTTTATCTTCACATTGTCTATGCCTATAAACGCCCTATCCCTTTTGTGCTGAGGAGTGGGATCTATACCCTGGTCGTTGATTTCAATCTCAAAAGCCCCATTCTTCCAGTTCAGCCGTGTCATCATAGCACTGGCTGAAATGCATAGTTATAGGTGTCGTCGTTTATAATTCTGCTGGGTATTTAGCCACCTAATCTCACCAAAGAAGCCAGGGGAGGGTTTAGTCATCATTGACAACACGATAATAGGAAAGGTGGCAAATATTTCACTCTTTTGAATGAATATGCCAATTTTGAACAAAGTGTACAAAACTAAATTCACGCTAAAAAGTCATGAAAGTATTTCAATAACGCTTTATGTATGTGTTTTATTATGTAAAAGACTTTGTTATTGTTTTTGTCTGTTTGGTTGTTCTTTTATTTTCTGTCACTCTAGTCTAATATAAACAGAGGGAAAGGTGGTACTACGAACATACAGACATATACTGGGTTCTAGTATGTTTGTGCGTTCGCTTGCACTATGACTACTACTGCTGGTGTTGATGTCTCATTTTAAATGCATTAAAAACAAACAAAATAAAAAGTTGAAGATAATCGTCAGAAAAATAAATTTTGTTCGACGAATACATTTTTCGTTTACAGTCGTATAATTTATTCATACATAAAGAGCCCCTACATTATTCCAGGTATTAAATGGTGATTGACTAACTGATGGTAGTAAACGTCCCAGAATGTACTTGTATGACCAATATACCATGTGATTTTCGAATTCGAATATAGGTTTTTATTATAAATCTTTTCAAAAAAGAAATTGAAAAAGAAAAGAAAAAAGTAGAGAAAAAAGAAAAGAAAAAAGAAAAGAGATGACAGAACAATCAAAAAAGAAACTGAAAAAAGAAAAGAAAAAAGTAGAGAAAAAAGAAAAGAAAAAAGAAAAGAGATGACAGAACAATCAAAAAAGAAACTGAAAAAAGAAAAGAAAAAAGAAGAGAAAAAAGAAATGAAAAAAAAAAAAGAGATGACAGAACAACCAAAAAAGAAACTGAAAAAAGAAAAGAAAAAAGAAACTGAAAAAAGAAAAGAAAAAAGAAAAGAGATGACAACAACCAAAAAAGAAATTGACAAAATAAGAACAATAATAAAGAAAATATATTAAGAAGGTAGAGCTGCGAATGTGAGCAGAAAGAAAAGAGACAGAAAATTAAGAATAATAGCAAAAGACATGATCTCAACCAAATTATCTCTTTTAAGTAAAGACTACAAAGATAAAATTGTAAATTAGCGAAGAAGTACATGAAAACTGATTTCTCGACAGTAATTTTTTGTGATGAATATCAAGAGAGCTGGGTTAGAAGTTGAGACTGCAGAAATATTCTAGCAACACGGCTTAGAAGACAACTGCAGTGAAGTCGAGCAAATGTTTTCGGCTGTTATTGTCGGCAGTAAAATTATAGATTCTTTCAAATAAAAGTTATAAGTTCTTAGACAAAACTTTATATTTAAATATTACAAGTTACCAACAAGTTAAAGTGTATATTCATGCAAAACAATCCTGCTTGACAATCTGCAAAGTTAAATATTGCACTCTACCAAAAACTGAAGAAATGTTTCATAGATGCAAAATTAATAAAATGACCTCCAACTTCTCCAGATATGAAACCAATAGAAAAAGTTATGGTTTATTATTTAAAGAAATGCATATGAGAAGGAAAAACTATATTTAAAAACAAATCTTTGGGAAGCAATAAAAATTGTTTCAAATAATATTAAAATCGAAACAGTAGATAAGTTACCAGAATCAATGGAAGAAAAACTGATGAATGTTTTAGAATTTTATTATTACAATGCAACAAACGAAAGAAATAATTAAATCGTTTTTGCACTGTACATTTTAAATTTGCAATAAACATGAAGAATAAATTAAATGTCAACATTTTCTTGCCACTTTAAACGTTATTTTCAAGTGTCAGATATTTTTCTAAGAAATAAAATCAGTCAAGTCCCCGCCCCCCTCCGCAAACACTAAAAAAACAAAACAAAAAAAAACAAAACAAAACGAACTTATGAATACATTTCAACACAAATTATTCAATCTTAACGTTTGACTTTGTTCATCGAGAGGAGATTTTGAAAGATTTCTGCATTTTAAACGGATTACTGGATCTTTAAGGTCGTCAAAAACATCAACACGTGTCTATGTGTGTGTGTGTGTGGGTGAGTATGTGTGTGTGCGGGTGTGTGTACGTGTGGTAACAAGACGGTAGGAATATCTCCAATTATCAGATGCGGAGTAAACGCATCTTTTAAAAGAAACAAAAAATTTAAGGAACTTGCAAGACGACGAAAATAAAAGCAGGACACAATTATTGCAGAATAATTCCCCTCCCCGTCTCCCAAAATAAATTCATTGTTGCGGTCGGATATTAACAACCTAAAAAAAAAGTGTTGATTGTAGTCAGGGGTTTATTCGAAACGAAGATGGGTTAAAGAGAGAGCGAGAGAGAGAGAGAGAGAGAGAGCGAGAGAGAGAGAGAGAGAAAAGGGGGGATAAGTAATAGTGAGAGAAATGGTTCAAGGAGAGAGTGAAAGAGAGAAGTGATTCAAGCGAGAGATAGAGAGAGAAAGGGAGAGAGAGAGAGAGAAAGAGTAGTGATCTTATAAACAAAAAAGATGCCGCCGACGCGAGAACACAACAGACCACCCAAGAGATTCAGTTGTTGTTGTTGTGGTCATAGTCAAGGAATCTGAAGCTGAAAATGTGGTGGGGAGGGTGGGAGTGAAGGGGGAGAATTTGAATTGTTTAGATTCGCTGTGATAGTAAGTAATGTTAGCAGAGTAACTGATGCCGGAGAGCTACTATGTGTATCTCCAAGTGGTTGAATCAATTGACCTCCCTTCTTGACCCATCTTTCTCTATCTTCTAGACTGTCACCCACACATATCTTCATTCACACACTATGGACAATAAGTCCAACGTGCTAAAGGATGAATCTTTTTAGGATAACAATCCAATGGAGGAACTCCATACGTCTTCTTGTCCTGCAAATCTTGAGCCTGTCTATTTGAGGCAGTTTATTTCGAAATTATCTTCAATGGCGCCAGTAGATGATGTGGTCAGTCTAATTAGTACGGACTGTTAAAGAAAAGGCGACTGAAAAAACGCAAAGCAAAAAACGACACGAATCTGAAAAGTTTTCTGTGAGACAACAAAAGATACGTGGGTGAATTGTTTGGTGATTTGTGACGTTATCAGAAGGAATAGTAATTCACTGATATTAAATACACAATCTATCTGATATGACGGAAGCTTCGGGGAGATGTTTATTAGGAAGAATTTATTCCCTAAGTTAAAATTTCACCTTCCATAGACCGGTATTCTCAGATATTGCATCTATATTTGTAAAGGTTCAGTTACTGTAGTTATGGGCAAACATATGTCAGTAGCGAAACACGTCAACGGTTCATTGGCAGAAGAGTACAGAGCGCAGTCCATCGTAGAATTAAAAATATAAGAACTTCGAAAAATAAACGTTAATAAAAAAATAAAATAAAATGAATGGCGATTCTGTCATTGACCAAAACATTTCTATTCATCTTACCTGAACTTTAATTTATAATAACGGACATGAATTTTCTCTAACAGCAGCAACTACTAAAATGGATAGCACATTTAACTGGAAAAGAATATAATGACATAATCAAGATGTTAACTTTCCGCACCACCTTAAACGAAAGGTTAGGAAGGAAATTCCCGATAATATTAGATAGAGCGATAACAGTGAACTTGAGAAGCGTATTTTCTTGAAAAATGTTTTAAGGGAAATATTTAATTAATTTCAACCGACAGTAAAGCTAAGTGTTCAGCCAATGAATTCTGAATTATTTTTTTATATTAAGGCAGCTAATCACGCCATTACCATTAGCAATAGAGGGCTAATCATAAAGTATAATATTATCAGTATCATAAGACCTATTATTAAAATTATAATAGAGGATCTATTATAAAGACTAATTATAAAATAATACACCTATGATATGAAACAATACCTACATTATAGACGACGCGTGGCTCATGGTTCGAACTGTAGCGTTCTGACCATGAGACACGGATTGATTTTTGTCAATGAGGTGAATTCTTGATAATATCTATCGCGTAGAAGTTGAGAAGAGCCTGAAAACCATAGCCATGGGTTGACCAAGGCTTGCGAGTGAAACTGAATAGACAAAACTGTTTTGAAGCAGTCGATGGCTGTACTAGCACAAATTGACAAGTTATCGTGACCGAAGGTTTGCACGTACTGATCTTACTCAGCTATGCGCTCTTCCCAAGAAAATTTAACTAAAGTTTCTTCAGCATAGTTGCGGTACAAACTTCAAGTTGACCCTGTGAGTGTTGCAGTAAACATGGACATGAACATTGGCACCCGGAACAATTATTAGATAGCCTTCCTCGTAGACTCCATAGTTTCCCAAAGGTTGATAGATGTCTACTGCATTATAAGAAATGACCTAAATTTTCAGAAAATTATCAATTGCGAGAATAGACTAGTTGTTGAAAATTCTTATCAAATTGAAATTTCAAGCTTAACTTTAAAGCTAATTTTTATATTTATTCGACAGACAGAAGCCGTTGAAATTATGAAACGTTGAAAAAAAGATAAAAGGAGGAAAATTCGTAGAAGCTTGACAAGGCTACTCAGATTTTTTACTTATTTTCTACCAATATTGGAGGTCGGTTTCAAGTCAACGTCAAAAATACCTATTGGATACACAATTTTATATATATATAAAAGTGGACATTGAGGTCAACACACAGTGGTAACATTCTGTTTCATGCTTAAACGCAATATTCATGCTTGAAACAGACTGTCACTGATGGGCGGTGACCACAATGTCCACTTTTATATTTACATACGGTCTGTCAATGATATTGAGCATTTTAATCCATAAATATAGCCCACGTTAAAACTATACTGTTATCATATCTATCTATCTATCTATCTATCTATCTATCTATCTATCTATCTATCTATCTATCTATCTATCCACACACACACACACACACACGCACACACACACACACATATATATATATATATATATATATATGTATGATATTAAAATAGACATTGTCGCCAATACCAAGTAATGACAGTCTATTTTATGCTTTAGCGCAATCTTTGGACTGAAGTTTGCGCTGGAAAATAAAACAGATTATCGCTTTTATATTTTATATTTATATTCACTCTATCTCTGATATTGAGTACTTTTGCACATAATCATAACCTCCCTGAAAACTATATTTTTATCATATGGTATAGTGGATACTTCGTATTTGAAATAGACGCCCTATTTTCTTTATTAAACAGTGTAATTATGCCTATCTGCCTGAGAATTTGATTTCAAATCCGAAGTTTCTACTATAATAAAATTTGAAGTAATAAAAATGTCGGATTGAAAATAAATCTATTCAAATCTTTAGAAATATATTTGGTATATTTGAAGCAATGCGCCAAGTTTCACAAGTTTTAAGGGAAAACAAATAACAAATCAATGAAAAATATTTCTACTAACAAGTAATATTTATGAGACTTGCTATCAGGGCAGACATTTGTAGATTATCATCAAAAAGCCTCATTGCTGATATTTTTATCGCTTTACCTGATTGGTTCTCTTAGTGACAAATAAACGCTTAATTGGAGAACTAATAAATCGTCTATAGTTTCATTTTGTTTGCTTTAAAAAATGTTAGATTTCCAGATGTGACTACACTTACTCACTGTCTTTAGAGATTCAACCACAACGTAACCACTGAAAAAAGTTTATTACTAAATATAAAAGACACCATTTTGTCATGGAATATCTTAAATTTTACAGTGTGTAATATTGCTACATCAGACTTTTAGAACATCTCTTTTTGTTAGGAAACTGTTTTATATCCTTTTTTTTTCTTTTTTAATGTAATGTTATCTTCCCTATAATGTAGCATCTTTGCTTCGTAGGCAGATCTTTACACGCAACCCTTATCAGGATGTCAGCGACTGTTGCAAGTTTTCAATATTAGTTTCTTGCCTAGACCTACGATCATAACTTTTATTTGCTGGTTTTATTTTCAGTCTTCTGAGTAAGAAGGGAAAAACCATGCGAACGGGGAACGTTCTTATCAATTGTAGAAAGAAAAAAACTATCAAATTGATACATAAACAACGCGTGTTACTTTTTTTTTAGCAAATGAAGTGTGAAGATTTGATGAATATTTAATCTGGTACGCAACCACGATAGTCAAACATCAGGTGGGGATCAAACTCACTACCCCATTAGAAAGACTACAAAATTATCAATCTACGACAGGTACTCTTATGTATTCTCAGTAGATCCTCACCATATATCACGACCCTGAGCTCGTTAGGGTCTCAGGGTCACCATATGTAGTGCGGTCTTAGCAGTAGTGGTTTTGTCTAGGGAAAGATAGACTGATCATAATCATGAGTTCCGTAACTTATTAGGGTGTAAAGGTCACCATATGTAGCGCGGCTGTAGCAGCAATGGGTGTGTCTAGTGCGAAATAGCCTGATGGAATCTATAGCACTGAAAACTGATTTTGAATTCAGAAGTTTTCCTCCTTCTAGATTGGTTGTCATCTAAGGCAAAGGGGAGCCCAGACAACCGTGCTATTTAACCAATGCTATTTAACCGTGATATTTAACCGTGCTATTTAACCAATGGTGAAAGGTTAATGCCCTTCTCAAGGATGAAGTAAACGAAACAGATGCAACCAGAATTTAAACTCCACATGTCAGTTCCACTTTCTGCATTGATAATGCTCTACAAGCATGGCCATGTATACAACAAATAATATAATGGCATTTTTTTTAAGACAAGATGTTAAGTTTAAACATCCAGCCCCATTTAATAGACTCTTTAAACTGACGTGTCTATACTAAGAGACTTAGCTTTTAAAGTATACTGATTTCATTTGGACAAAGAAAATAGTAAAGTAAAAACAAGTTATATTTTCTGAAAATTGACCAGTTTTTTTTTCCGGCCGCCCACTATTTGCCATTTTCTTCAATTTTTCCTTGAACCAAATATGATTTAATCCAATAAATAACACCACCGTAAACAACAAACAGAAAACTAAAATAAAATGCAGTCATTTCCCTCATAAAGAAAGTGACTTTTAAAATGTCGACATTGGAGGACTGCAAAATGTTTACGTTGAGATTAATAGTGGCAGTGTCGAAGAATTACTTTAGAAACATTTTGACATCATTTTTTTTTTATTTGACTCATTTTAACTCAACGTGAGTGCATCTCTTGAATGCACTCCAAATCATTTTTTTGTAATTACAGAGATGGCAAAATGGCTACAAAAAAGAGAATATTGCGGAAGAATGGGAGGGCGAGAGAACATTTGACACATAAAACGTTTATCCAATCACAATCAGAGTAAGAAACAGCAAAACATTTTTTTACCCAACCCTTTATCCCCACCCGTTAGAAATATTTTCTTTACCTTCAGATAATGATCTCCGACGGAGCATTTCCTCATCAGATGTAGCGCAGTTCACAATTTGAGAAGTGGAGAAAGCACGTTGGAATTTACGGCTAAGACTGATAGCATAAATCAAATTGCTTATATTGAGAAGTGGGT